CTCCTGGGCCCCCCGCCCGCGCGCGAGCGGCGCCCCGCCTGCTCAGCAACGCTGATGACCACAATTAGCGCAATCGTAGAAGCCTGGGCTATACACAAGCATACACGTTCACCTGCTCCCTCCCTCTATCTCACCATTCCCAACGGCTCCCTTAATGTCTCCCTTGTGCAATCCCATCCCATTCCATCCAATCCATCCCTCCCTCCGTCATGTGCCCCGACCCCCCAACCCCCACCCCCAGGTTGGTGGTGACCCCAAGCTGCTGGCGCCCCACCTCAAGGCCCTGGGGGGCGGCCTGTTCGGCTGCGTAGGGGAGAGGTACTACAAGGTGCGGCCCCGGGGTGATCTGATCCGCGTGGTCCGACACGATCTTCGCAAGAGACGACGTCTTAAGGCTATCGTAGGGCCTCTGGGCTTTGTAACGATGGCGCGGAGGCCGTCCCATCCTGCCCTGTGTTTGCGGAACTCTCCAAATCGACCCCCAAGCCACCCGCCCGGCCGTTGCACGAACCCGCACATACGCCGCGCCGCATTCGGCCTGGACCGCAGGTCACGGCGGAGGCGCTGCGCGCGTGCGAGGCACTGGTGCGGTGCCTGCGGCCCAGCCCGCCTGCCCCGGTGGAGCCGGCGGCGGCGGAGCTGGTGGCGCCGCTGCTGGCCGCGGTGTCGGGCCGCCTGGCTGCGCAGGTGCGGCTGGCACGCCTTTCGCCCCGCCCCACCCTCCCAACCGACGCCCACTCACCACAGGACAGCCCGCAGCGGCAGCAGCTGTGCCCCGCCCTACGCACAGTCGCCTGGATCATGGCAAGGGCACCCCCTGCCGTCGCGCCGACCACGCCCCCTCGCCGCCCCTCTCCGATCGCACTTATGCCCTGCCTTCCCCATTCCTTCCAGGCAGCCCACTTGCGACCTCCTGCAAACCAATCGATCCACTGTCTCTTGTCACCTCTCATACGGCTGCACCCAGAAGTAACCTCCCACGTAACTGCCGTCCGTCGCCCCTAAACCCTATTGCCCTGCCGCAGGACCAGGACCAGGAGGTCAAGGAGGCGGCGGTGCTGTGCGTGGCGCGCATACTGGCAGACCTGGGGGACCAGGCGGGGGTGGAGGAGCAGGTGCGCCCGCACTCTCCGGGTCCGAGTCTGGGGGGTTGCAGGGGGTGTGAGCGCGGAGCGGCCTCGCTGGCTCGTGCACACGCGCGCATGTGCATGCACCCAAGCCTATGCACGTGCACGCGCACGCACAGTCACACACACACACGCGCGCACACGCACATGAACACACACGCACGCACACACACACACACACACACACACACAC